TGGACATTCACACACCTTTCACATCTCTTTTCACTCACTGAATCAAACACCTTTTTATCTCTCAGTCATAATTAATACAAGATGCACACACAAACTCTTACACACAGCCATCAATTTCTGTCTCTCTTTAGCAGAAGCAGGACATTACAGTGAGAAAAATGGTTGAATTAGCACATGGGTGTCCATGTGAGCAGTAACGCCGCACCAAGGCTTCAACCGCTGTTACTGAACATTCACACACCTTTCACATCTCTTTTCACTCACAGAATCACACACCATTTATTCCAAATTCATCAACAATGCAACACATACACACAAACACACTTTCATCAAACCATCTACCCACCAGGCATCAAGTCATCCATCCATCCATCCATCCATCCACCCCCTCTCACACATATCTCTTCATTCACTTAATCACCTATAATTCTTTTTTCTTTAAATTAGTGGTGGAACTAATGTAGAGATGACTGTGGTGCAAGAAATTGTTTTGGAGAGGTGACAAAAAAAATTCTTGCACCACAGTCCACTCTACATTAGGGGGGCCTTCCCCCAGCACAAGGGTGGCCAAAAGGTAGATTACCATCTCTCATGCATCTCCCACAGCTACAATTTGACCATCCATGCTGGGTTTACTTTGTGGAAATATTTTGTGTGTTTGAATGTACACTTATTTTTTGTATGGAGTGTGTGTAAAGTGTTGGCATTTGAAAAGAAGTGGTGTATTTGTATATATTATTGCCTCTTGGAAGCAGTGGCATACTTGTGTGTAGTGTGTTTGGGGTACAGGGGTGTGTGAGGTGTTGGTGTTTGAATGATGGGGTATATTTGTGTGTAGATTTGGTGTTTGAATGTAAAGGTGTGTTTATAGACTATGTTGGTTTTTTAATACAGGGGTATGTTTGTATGCAGTGTTGATGTTTGATTGCAGGGGTGTGTTTGTATGTAGTGTTTATGTTTAGAATTGAATGTTTGATATATGCACACACATACTAAAGCACAGATACACGTACACACTGACACGTACATATACACAAACACATTGACACACATATGCACTCATATACCATCACTGATACACACACACTGACACACACAAATACAGCCACACACAGATAAACAAACATACTGGCACACCCATACAGACAGGGCTGACCTTGTTTTCTAAGTCCCATTCCCCCTCCCACAGTGTGTATCAGAATACAGAAAAAATATTGAATCTTATTATGTGTGTGTCAATGTGTTTGATTGCAGGGGCATATGTGTCTAGAGTTTGTGTGTGTGAATATAGAGACTAGTGTGTGAAGGGTTAACATACTTAAAAGGGTGCATGTGTGAATGCAGGGGTGTTTTGTATGGTGTGGCACTGTCTGTAGGAACTAAATGGCAAATGTGTACCCCTCATGGTCTGTAGCCCATTCCAAACTCCCAATAGTTAGTAGCCCATTAATGTCCATCAATGTCCCATAGCGAGTAGCCCTTTCTTCTCCCCTACTTGTTACTTGTAGAAGCCTATTATTTGCCCTCGGTAGTTAGTAGCCCATTTCCTCTCCCTTATAGTTGATAGCCTATGCTCCCCCTCACCATAGTTAAAAGCTAATTCAAAGCCTCTCCCTCCAAATAGCTGGAACACATTCGCCTCACACCCATTAGTAGTATCCCTTTCTCTCCAGCATAGGTAATACCAGCATTCTATCCCCCATAAATAGTACTCCATTCTCTTCCTCTCCCCCATAAATATTACCCCACTCCCCCCATAGGTAGTATCCTATCCTCTACCCCATAGGTAGTATCCCACCCTCTCACCTATAGGTAGTATCCCACCCTCTCCCCCATAGGTAGTATCCCACCCTCTCCCCTGTAGGTAGTATCCCACCCTCTCCCCTGTAGGTACTAACCCACCCTCCCCCCCGTAGGTAGTATCCCACCCTCTCCCCCGTAGGTAATATCCCACCCTCTCCCCCGTAGGTAGTATCCTATCCTCTGCCCTGTAGGTAGTATCCTATCCTCTCCCCTGTAGGTAGTATCCTATCCTCTCCCCTATAGGTAGTATCCTATCCTCTCCCCTATAGGTAGTATCCCATCCTCTCCCCATAGGTAGTACACCACTCTCTTCACCATAGGTATAACAGCTTTCTATTCTAATAACTCCTATAGATAGTCACTGATTCTCCTCCTTTCTCCCACCCCAGCCATTGAGGATGAAGCTATCATCTGTACCTGCTTGAGAGCCTCCTGAAGTTTGTGCAGTCCTTCTTAGGGCAACTCTGCGCGGCTCGAGCTGCTGTTTGACTGATGACATCAATTCCGTCTGCCACACGGAGCTGCCCTGATCAGGTACCGCAACCATTTCCCTAGGCACAGGCTCTGCTCCTGGAACCTCTGCCAACATTAAAGGGGCCGGGTCACGCTGCTAAATGGGTGAACCACACGATTGGCCCCCAAACCCTGCAGGCACTGGTGCAGCCACACTAGCTACAGTGGTGGTAATTTTGACACTTTTTTAAACCCATGTCTGGGCTATCTTTAATTTAAAAGTTACTGTCTGGGTTATTGGAAATGTCATGCTTTTAATTTGTTTAAGAGCAGGGGCTTGTATGATTCTACAAATCATATTAGCCCATTACTTCCAAATGGACTGAGGGGCAAGACAGGCATTACATATTTAATAGACCTTGGCATCCCTAGTAGTGTAAATTTTAGATGGATGTGGCATACTACGGAGCACATTACTATTAAGGAATAGTATTTCCACTGGCACATAGTGCTGGTGGTGAAGAACTCCTGGTAGTTTAATTATTCGAATAGGCACCTACATACAGGGCCAGACTAGGACAATAATTCGGGCCTAGCATTTTAAGGCAGAGCAGCTAAATAGGAAGGGTCATGTTGAGTCATCATTGGCACGCACTGACCCCAAAGTGGGCATGTCAGGACATTTCCCTTAAAGGGTAGCCCATTTGCAGGGCTCTAATAAAGAGCCCTCACATGGGCAAAAATGTCCTGTGTTTGACACAGTGAAAGCTATTTTTATGATACACGTCTTTTGTGTTTGCTGGTGACTTGTGTCTGGTTTCCCCATGAGTGGGACACAAACCAGAGATCATAAGAGTGACAGTGTTAAAACATGGTAGAGTGTGTGTGTGTGTGTTTGTATGTGTATACGGAAGAGACTACATGTGATGGATATGGGCTATACTATGTCTGTGGTGGATAGGGGGTGCACTGTGTGGGAGTAAGGGACTTTGCTGTTTGGGTAAGGCTGCACTGTGAGAGGAAAGGAGTAGTAAAGGGGTGTACAGTAAGGGTTACGGGTGCTGCACTGTGCAGGGTAAGGGGCTGCACTGTGGGTAGTAGGGGAATGGGTGTTGCACTGTGGGGGCTGCCCTGTGGGGATAATGGGCTTTATTGTGTGGGTAAGTGGCTGCACAGTGGGTTGGTAAAGGTCTGTATAGTAGGGGGGGGGGTAGGGGAATGCACACAGGGGCTAAGGGGCTACACAGTGAGTGGGTAAAGGGCTACTGTGGGGGGGCTCTGTGGGGGTGGTAAGTGGCTGCATTGTGGGGGATGGGGGGCTGTACAGTGAGGGTATGGAGAATGTACTGTGAGGGATAAGGGCCTGCACAGTGGGGTGATAAAGGGTTGTATAGTAGGGGGAAAGGGGCTGCACTATGGGGTAAAGGGGCTGTACTGTGGAGAGGTGCTTAAAATATTAGCATACAGTAGTAAATAATTATATTAATTTGTTATGATCCCCTCTCTTTGACTTACCAGGGATGGGAATAATGATCCCCAGTGTTCCTCATGGGTGCACTGCATCACCAGCAGTGCTCTTTCGTTTCTTTGGTAACCCATGGCAATGCTCTGATCACTTCAGGGAGCATTTCACTGCATGCTCCCCAGCAGTACAGAGGCTTGATTTCCCTGACTACTGTGGAACCCTTTTTTGACGACCACGCAACTTTCTCCTTGCGCTCAGCCCTGGAGGGGCTGGCAGGGAGATGGTGTGATCGCCCTGGTCAGCC